CGGCTCCTGCGGGCAGCGCGTCCCGGCGGAGGTGGCTCCGGGGAGCCGCTGTGCCCCCGCCCTACCCTCGGGGCTGGGCTGCGGGGAAGGGGGGTGCGAACAAGCACCCCAGCTGGGCCAGGTGCCAATCCACCGTGACACGTGAGCCGAGGGAAGGTGTAGGAGTAGCAGTTCTGGCAGGGACGGTGCGCCCTGGAGCAGGCGCAGGGAGGGCCAAGAAAAGGGAAAGAAGTGTTGTGAAGATTTGCGTTAAACTTTATTCCATGTCCGCAGTGTAAGATCCTCTGACTTGTAGCAATGGGAAGACCCAGGAAGGAGTCTGCTGGCACATCGTCCCCCCGACCGGCCACAACCGCCTCCAGAACTGCCCCCGCTGCGCCCCCGCCTTCGACTTCAGCCGCCCGGGCCAAGGCCCCAGCTGCAGGGAGCCAGTCCCGGAGCACTTCGGCTGCCAAGGCCAGCACCCCCACGCAGGGGCGGGGGACAAAGGCAGACTCTGCTCAGCCAAGATCCACAGCATCCCGCGGAGCCAGAGGAGATGCTGGGGAAAAGAGCAGAGCACCCACCAGGAGTTCTACAACGCAGAAGGTGCCTGATGCCAAGGGAGCCGCTGGTCCTACCAGAACTGACCCGTGCCCGCAGAAGAAGCAGCCTGGGGCTGACCTGAGCAAGGCCTGCGACCAGTTCCTGCTGCCTGTAAAGAGCCAGGACATCCCGAGGGTGGAGAAGGAGACCCGGGGCCAGCAGAACAACCCCAAGTGGTACGAGTGGCGGGAGAACCGCATCACTGCCTCCGTGGCCCCCAGAATTGCCAACAGCAAGTTTGCCAACAACAAGACAGACGAGGTGCCCAAGTCCTACCTAAAAGAGGTGGTGAGCTCTGGCTCCAAGGTGCAGACCCCAGCCATGTCCTGGGGGATCCGCAATGAGAAGGTGGCTGTGGAGGCCTACAAGCAGAAATCACAGAAGGGGGGAAAGCCAGTGCAAGTGGAGGACTGTGGCCTTTTCATTCACCCGGAGAAGAAGTGGCTTGCTGCCAGCCCGGATGGGATCATCAAGGATGCAGCCACAGGGAAGGACCTGGGGCTGCTGGAGGTGAAGTGTCCCTACAAGCACAGGAACAAGACAGTGCGCGAGGCCTGCAAGGACAAGGACTTCTGCCTGGAGGTGGATGGGGATTCCTATGCCTTGAAGAAGAATCATCCCTACTTTACCCAGGTCCAGTGCCAGCTGGGAACCACTGGCTTCCAAAAGGCCGACTTCGTGGTGCACACCACCAAGGAGACGGCTGTGGTCCCTGTGGAGTTTGATAGGGAGTTCTGGGGGAAGACAGTGCCCAAGCTGGAGAAGTTTTACACGGAGGCAGTGATTCCCCAACTGGAGCAGAAGGCAAGCAGCTCTGTCTTGGCCAAGGAGGAGTAGACCATTGCTGGCCTACCTCAACTGGGTGCTTGTTTGGCTCCATAACTCCAGTTTTGTCCCCTAACGTAGAAGTTATACCCCCAGGTTAGTTGCTGTTCCTGAACCGTTCAGAGCCTTGGAACTGAAAAGTTGTACCAGCAGGACCCTGCTTGGTAAGGGTCCCCACAAACAGTGCCTTCTTGCTGCCTCAAGCAGGTCAGCACGCAGCCCCCAGAGCCTTCTTGTCCTGTCGCCCTCACTGCATCCCCCACCTGTCCCAACAGCATGCCTAATGGAAGCAGGCACACCTCTGGATCTGCGAATAAAGCCAATGATATCTCTGTGTTGGAATTAGAGGCTTATTTTGTGGAGAAAACTGGAGCCTTTGGCACCTCAGTTGCTGTTGGGACCAGTTTCTAACTGCACTCCAGAGTGGAGACAGAGACAAGGAAGGTTTGTCGGAGCGCAAGAGCAAAACTCTTTTGAGCCAGTGATGTGCCTAAAGCGTCAGAGCAAGGGCACATGGACACCCTTCATCCATCAGCCTTCGGACCTGCTGCTTCTGCGGAATAACCCATGACACTCCCTGTGAGATGCCTGCAGGCTCTGGAATGTGATTCCCACTAAAGAGGTTGTCCCCCAGGCCATGCACTTCCAGAAGCCCGCCCATGGAGTATTCCTGTAAACTGCAGCAATGTGGAGAGGTGGTCATTGCCAAATTAAATATAGATGCACTGGTCTGCTCGTTTCCTGTTGTTTTTGCAGCTTGGGATTTATCTAGGGGAATAGCAGGGCTGAGAGGTGTCACTACACCAGGTCTCCTCCCAGCCACAGCAGAAGGAAAGCAGGGGACCACTTGGGTTCCCAAGGGACATGAGAACCAAGGTCACTGACCTATGCCAAAGCCACCGCTGTTATGGCAAAAGTATTTATTATATACATAAGACTCCAGTCACACTCCACAGGGCAAGGACCAGAATTTTCTATAATACAAATTAACTATAATACAAAGTAACTATTATACAAATTAACTATAATACAAAGTAACTATAAAAACATAAAGCACTTTTGGGGCCCAGGCTTTCCACAGGAGGAGAGAGGCACAGGGACGAGCCTGGGGGCTGCTGTGTGACAGGGGGCTGTCCCACACCTTGCCCCCTGCTGTGGTCCCACAGTAACCAGATGTGCAAGTAGGAAAGTACCCAGTTAAGAATTATAGTCATGGGGACTGGCAGGTGGGGGTTGAGCTGAGTGTCACCAGGACAGGAGCGGGGCCTGCATCCCCCAGGGAAAGTGCAGAAGGCACATGGGCAGGGCTCTTTGGAGGGGCTGCGAGGAGGAGGTGGGATCCAACAGTTAGTGCATGTGGGGCCCCAGGAGATCACAAACACTAACACACCACCCACAGGGATGAGCATCTGGACCATCCTCCTATCCCCCGCACACTTCTGGGATAACCGAGCTCTATGGCCAATATGATCCTCAGGGAGGACACGCAGGGCAGCTTGCAGGGGCAGAGGCGTGAGGGGGACAGTCCGGCCCTGTGTCCCAGCCCCTCCCCTGCCAGTGCATTGATTGTCTAAGTCTTCAGGTTAAAAAGGGACCCCCAGCCTTCCTGCTCTGCAGGAGCATCAGTCAACGAGGCGTTTGCGGGGCACTGTCCGAGCTCGGTTGGAGCGGCGAATCTCCTGCTTGGCATCCCGGCACCGCTGGCAGATGAAAATGTCAGGCACGTTGGATTTGCGGATCTTGGCACAAGAGAGGTGGATCCAGGTAGCACATTCATTACATTCGATCATGGGCCTCCCTGCAAAGGGCTTCATGCAGAAGCAGGTGATCAGATCCCAGGCATCGTCGTCTGCTCAGGGACAAAGAGGGAGACGCTGGTCAGACACCACCATACCAGCCGCAGGTCTGGTTGTGGCCAGACCAGCCAGTTCTACTGGTGTTAAATGGGACAGCCCCCCACTCACCTTCTGCTTTGGTGTTGGGAACTTCTGTGAATTCGACTGCTAAAGTTGCAAAAGGGGGAAAAAAGAGAAAAAAAAAAACCAAACAGATGAGTAAGGCAGCCCTACACCCCAATTCAGACCTGTTTCAGGTCTGCACTACTTGCTCTGCAGAACACAGCTACCAAAGGGCAGGTCAGCTCCCTGCCCTCTGCTCTTCACCCCCCCAAGTCCCAAAAGTATTACTCTTGCTGGGAGAGGCTTGGGCTATCGACAGACCCTCCCTGTGGCCAGCAAGGGTGGCTCCAGTTGAGGGAGGGACAAAGTTTGGCACTGGTTGCAGCACAACAGGGCCCTCTGCAGTCCCCCAGACACTTACCACTGAGCTGGGAGGTCTCTCTGCTTGTATCTTCCCCTGTGCTTTGGTCCAAGGTATGACAGGGACTAGGGCTTTTCCTCTCTCCAGAGAAGGCGTCGTGCTCCTTAAGCTGAGGATCATCTGTTGGCTTCTCAGTTCCCTGTGCTCCATACATCAAGTTCTTCTCCTCCGTCGTCGGTTCCTCCAGGAGGGAGCTGGGCTGGGGGTCCCCAGGCGGGTTGAGGGAAGGCTCCAATAGTTCCTCTTTCACAGGAGACAGCTGTCCTGCCAGTGCAGCCAGCTGCTTCACCCCATCCTGCTCTGCCCCAAAGTCCTTCCAAGCACTCAGCGGCACCCTCTTCTTCACCTCCTGCTCCAAAACGCGTTTCTTTGCTGGTGGTTTCTTCCGTTTGATTTGCTGGGGCCGGACGTTGTAGAAGGTGGTGGAAAAGGCAGGGCTGTTCATTAGCAGGCCACTGCCCACAGCCCCCCTGGCCACAGCATTCCTGCTCTTCCTACTGTCCATTGGGATGTGGCCATCAGAGGAGTGAGATGAGGTCGAGCTATCGCTGTCCTGAGTGCTCCCCGTGCTGTTCTGGGGGCTCATGCTGCCTCCGTGGGTCCAGGGCACATACTAATGACAGGACGGGAAAATGAGGGATTAGACCCAGAGCACAGACACTTGGGGTAAGGAGAGAATGACTCTCCAGCAAAGTTCAAGGCCAGACTGGATGGGCCCTGAGTAACCTGATCTAGTGGGTGGCACCCCTGCCCATGGTAGAGGAGTTGAAAATAGATGATCTCTAAGGTCCCTCACAACCCAAACCAATCCATGATTCTTTAAGATTAGGAGCTGTGTCTGCGCACGGCAGGGAGACCAGGAGAACCAGTGTCTTTGTACAGGAACACTGCAAGCCTGCTTACCTCTTCAGGGTATGGGATGTAGCCTGCATAGGCCAGAACGAAGGTGCAGAACTGGTTGAAATCCTCCACAGTTCTCCGCCGTTTCTGAAGTGGCTGCAAGAAACACCGCGAGTGGATTAAACTCCTCGGATATCCCAACCAAGCCGATATCACAGCTGGCTCTGGCGGCAGCCCTGGACCACGGGCCGTTTTACAAGCACGGAGTATCGAGGTCACCCAGACATCCATCCTTCCCGTAGCGCTTCATCATCTGCCGAGGCGAACGCAGCCCTTCCCTTTAAACCCAGATGCCGGGCGGGGTGGTGGCGGGGCTGGG